AGATCGAAGGAAAAGTTAAAAAACAAAAATATTTCTAGTTCAGAAAAGCAAATTATTATCACCGAGCAACGGATACATAGACTTAAAGCAAAGGCATTTTTTGCCTTATTAAAGCAGCCGCTAGAAAATACAGCGGTTTTTTCGTTTGATTGTCAGAAAAATTTGCCGAAGCATCCGGATCAAGCTAGTTATTTTAGTCAACAAATTAACTACATATTACAACTTTACGGTAATTCATGGATCATCAGCAGCACTGTTGGTTCCAGAAAATGTTTATTTTTATGTTTGGACGGAGGTTGATTTTCCCAAAAATTCTAATTCGATAGCTTCAGCTGTTTGGGATGTACTGAATAAGTTGAACTTTCCCAATGAAATCGATACAATTCGTTTATTTGCTGATGTATGTGGGGGGGCAAAATAAGAATATTATAATGATGACCATGCTTTCTGTTTGGTTGATGACGAAAGCTCCCAAAAACATAAAGACCATTAACATAATATTCCCCGTAGTAGGACATTCTTTTATACCACCTGATAGGTTGTTCGGAATAATTGAAAGAGAGGTTAAAAAGAAATCCATTATTTTAAAAACTTCTGACTACGAAGATATTATAGCAAATAAGTCGACAATTAGAAAATTGGATTTAGATTGGCAGGTGTATGTCTGGAAGAATGAAGCACAAGTAAACACCAAAGCACCATCCTCATGGCACTTTCAGTTTAATAAGGCTAAAAGGTTTGTGCTTACTAAAGGGAAAACCAATGCACTAATACGAGGTGAGCCCAATTATTGTGTTGACGTCGGTGAAGCCAAGTCTGTTGTCAAGAGAGGAATAAAATTGACACGTATCAATCCTACTCAACTTCCTATTGGCTGCAAACTCAAAGGCAATAAATCGACAATAATTTCTCTTCTCAAAAAACATTATGGAAACGCCTGGGAAGAAAATCCTGATTTGGTTTTCTTTAAAGAAAATCTTGTTAACCCTCGAATGGTGGAAAACCAAAATTCTGTAAACGATGTTGAAGCTGGCTGCAGTGGTTTAAAACCTTGCGATATTAATTTACCAATTTAATGTAATATGTAAATCACTGTTTAATTTCTTTGTGAATAAAATTTGTTTCAAACTATTGATGTAACATTTTTTGGTGCAAAACTCGCTAAATGCATTCTTTTTTCTTCATTTATTTAAAAAATCTGCACTATTTTTTTAAAATATGTTAAAAACTATTAGAGGTGTATATGTTCTAAAGGCACGCTAACATCATTAATTGGTTATTAAAAAATATAATGCAAAAAAACGTTTTTTGCTCTTTTCTCAAATTGACTTTACATGCATTAAGCGAGTTTTGCACTGATATAAATCCAAAGAAAGCTCCTGGATTTGCTCTAATTACTGGGGAAGTGTTAAAGCAACTTCCAAGGAAAGCTATTATAAAATTAACACATCTTATAAACGCTTCCTTTAGGTTGAGGTACGTACCAAAGATATGGAAGGTGGCAGAAATTATAATGACACTAAACCCAGGAAAACTTCCACAAGAAGCTTCTTCATATAGGCCTATTTCACTGTTACCTGTCATGTCTAAATTATACGAAAAATTACTCTTGAAGAGACTAAAACCGATTATAGAGGAAAAAAATCTAATTCCTAATTATCAGTTTGGGTTTAGAGCAAGCCACTCAACGATAGATCAGGTGCATAGAATAACAGATATCATAGAAAAAGCTCTATAAGAAGGAAAAGTTTGTTCCGCAATTTTCCTCGATGTAGCGCAGGCTTTTGACAAGGTGTGGCATGACGGACTATATCATAAAATGAGATGCTACTTACCAAAACAATATTCTGAACTACTAGAATCATATATATCCGACAGATACTTTCGAGTTAAATATAAGGAAGCATATTTAGAATTAAGAGAACTTAAAGCCACAAGGAAGTGTCCTGGGGCCAGTGCTATACCTGCTCTATACCAGCGATATTCCATCATTAGAACCTAACACAATTGCGACATTTGCAGACGACACATGCATTCTAGCAGTCGGACAAAACCACGAGGATGCAGCTACCATGCTACAGAGCTCTGTTGAACAAATTAACATCTGGACCAGCCGATGGTGTATCAAATTGAATGAAACAAAATCTGTTCATGTCAATTTTACTAACAAAAGAGAACAACATATCCCAGTACATATAAATAGAAACCAAATACCTTATGCAAATACGGCAAAATATTTGGGTATGACGTTAGATTCCAAGCTACGTTGGAAAGCACATGTTAAGAAAAAAAAAAGGAGGAATTAGAAATTAAGTTGAGAACGATGTACTGGTTGATGGGAAAAAAATCCACTCTGTCTATTTACAACAAGTTGCTATTATATAAGCAAGTCCTTAAACCGATATGGACATACGAAATACAGCTATGGGGCTGTACAAAAGAAAGCAACATCCAACATATACAACGATATCAGAATAAAGTATTAAGGAACATCGTTAACGCTCCAGGGTACTTTAGAAACTGTGATCTTCATCGAGACCTCCAGATGGATACAGTTATCCAGACAATAAGTAAGTTTGCCGAGAGTCATGAACAAAGGCTCTCCAACCACGTGAACGTCGAGGCCATCAAACTCCTAGACAACGCCAACCAGATAAGAAGACTAAAGAGAACGAAGCCGTTTGATTTAGTGCTATAAGTGAGTGAAAGTGAAAAAGCAAAGTAAAGTGCGGCTAATGTGTACATGTTAGCTAGTAGTACTATAATGTATTAGAGTAGAGCCTAAGGAATATTGCTGAATATAACCTAAGATAAGTTTCTTGTAATATTTATATATATATATATATATATATATATATATATATATATATATATATATATATATATATATATCACTAACTTGTTTATTGATCATGGTGAATGATCATTTCGTTTTATTAACTATAAATCAAATCATTTTTCTTGTGTCTTTAATTTAATTGTCCTAATTTGGATATTTTTCTTGGAATACAAATTTATTACAGAGTGCAACATAATTTATTTTTTATTAAGTATTATACATAAAATCATTTTTCTTTTGTCTTTTGTCTTTAACTTAACTTAAAATCATATAATGTTATTGATTGCATATTGTGTATTACAAATTACAATAATAAAAAATAAACGTAAAGATATTTTTTGGAATTCTTTAACTTTTTGAGTTGCTGGGGTTTGTCACACTGTAGCGTTTACGCTACTGATTAACCCCCTCAAGAAATTTCTTATAACCCGCCTGCGGTCGATTTTTAAATCGACATTTCTCCACTCACGCGCTGGGAGCGCTTTGAAAGGATTGATCGATTTTGTGCGGAAGTAAAGGAGTCAGTTTGGTAAATAATATCTAATTCAATAATCATATCTCAGTAATAAAAATAATAATAAGTAAATTTTAAAAATCAAGTATTCATTTATAAGAGTTCCACATAAAAAGGAAGATTTTTTGGCGTGCTGCGGCTCCATATTCCGTCACTTCACTTGAGGATATTCTCTTAAAAATATTCCCTCAAGGACTAGTAACAAAATTTCTTAAATGGTTAGCAACTCTCCTGGATTTTGCTGTCACTTCAGATAGACCAGTGACTGATTTTATGCCCAGACTCTCCTGGGATTTGTCCTTTACAGCAACCATGAATTAATTTAGCCGTGCCAAGAGGAGTTTTCCTATGGACTTATAGTGTTGCTAAGATAAGTTGTTTAACTATTTGACTTTTGTGTTACTTTCTATTTACTGTTAACTTTTCATATGCATATGATAAGGTGAATACAATTTTGATAATCAAATTCTAAGATATTGGGGAGGGAAAATACATTACATGTTTTATTAGGTTTTTTTTACTAGGATGTAAAGGGTTTGACCAAACTTATTTTTTTTGATATAATATTGTTCTTTTTAATACAATACATTTTGATACAATAGAATTTTGATTTTGGGAAGGGAAATAAATTCCATGTGGTTTTTTTAAAACATTATATAAAGAGTATTGAAGACTCACTTTTTGGATGTAATATAATAATTGTAACAGATTTATCACTTTTGATATCTTTACAATATTGTAATTAGTATCTCATTTTAGTAGAACTATTTAAATTTAAATTACTAACCTTTATTGTTAAGACCTTGGCTACCATACGGACTATTCTTGGTGTTACTAATATTTTTATACTTAATTTGCCAGTGGTAGTGATTATTCTCTTGTTGAGGGGCTATTTGGTCCTATTGTATCTTTACACACCCACTACCACTGTTATTTAGTTTTGCTTTATATGTAAATTGTTCATACATATATATCTATATACACACTTTTATAAATATATTTATTGTTAGTTTTTTGAGTTTTATTTTAGTTCTACTAACCAGTATACAATATAGCCAGACAAGATTGGTATTTAATATTTTGTATTTCAGGTTAGTATCTCTAGTATCATTTGTTTCCTGTCCTTTGTTACTTCAAAATCTCAACTATCGTTGAGTTGGCGCCCTTCTTTTTCTCTTCTTCTTGTTCTCTTTCTATAAGTTTATTCCCAGTGACCTTCTTTAGTTGTATCACGTTTGATATTACCAGGTCTCATTTCGTTTCTTGTCTCATTAGTATAGTATCCTTTCTATCTGTTTATATCTTTAAAGACACAATCCAGTGCATTGAAGCTAGCCCGAACACTCACTTGAGATTTAGTGTCTCTTTGGCCATTTAACTTTGTTCCTCTGAGCTTAGCCCTATTTTTAGTATTTTCATCACCTCTCTTCCAGTTCTTCTGAAATTTGGAAGTTCTACACTTCCTAAAATCCAATACTCCCGGAGTATTGAGGTTTCAACATCCCACCTGTCTGTTAGTGGAAAAAAAAATTCACCTGTCGGATGCCGGGTTAAATGAACAATAATAAACATGAAAAAGGCTAGTAACAAATAGACATTTGGAAAATAAATAAGAAAATAAAAAAAAACACTTTCTACTTTACTTACGAGAATTTCCAATATTGTCGATGTTTATTTATATTGTAAAACTTATGTCTTTGGGATTTCCAACATCCCCTTCCGTTTAATAGCCAGACATCGTAACCACTATCTGCTAGTACGTAGGCTAATGCTTTTCCTGGGCCCTGGAGTAGAAACATATCTACGCTTGCGCTCATGCCATGTATCAATAAAACTGGGCTTCGGTTCGTACTGTTTGTTGAACTTTTACCATGTGGTATTCTAAAGATGGTTAAATAGTAGTGGTCCTTCGTTTTTACTTGATATTGCTCCAAAGGATATCCATCGTGTGCTACTTTTTGTTCCTAGATTTGAAATTTAATAGTAATAAATCAATATGTATCAGTACCGCGTTGAAGCAAACTAAATTAATCACACCATTCATATTTTTTTAAATAGGTAAAAAGAAATAAATAATACTTACTTACAATTAGTTTAATTTAACTACCTAGACGACCGGTTTCGCTTTCTATAATTTGCAAAGCATCTTCAGGTCAGTCGGTACAAAGTTAATTAAATGCTGAAATAATAAAAACCCATATTAGGGTGCTGTCTTATAAAGATAAACATAAGACGAAATAATATAAAATTACAGTAATTATGCCAATATTACATGTCTGTGTTTTTTAATATGAATAAATTGTTTAAGCAGACAAAGTAAGACCCATAAATTGGTATAAAATAGTCTATTGCATTGTAATAAATTAGTAAATAAACATAACATTACTTACTAGCCGGTATACGATTTATTAATGATTAGTATAAGATAGTTCTATATCTCTATCTATATAGTTCAAACTATTCTGTAATTGCTGCTAGTGGGATCTTCAGTTTTTACTATTGTAACTGTTGGATAATTAACGGGAAAGTTTCTTGAGGAGATAGATAATAATCAATGAAGTAGAAATATTGTATAATGTGATTGTTTGTTAAATGAAAGTGATGTTCAGTATTATTTAATTTATTAAAAGTTATTTATATTTATTCAAGAGATATATTTTCGAAATTTGTATTAATTTATTGAAATCCTATTATTAAGGTGATAGTTGTATGACAATGAATAAAATTAGATGTACAATTGTGTGAGTGTGCAATTCCTTTAACTTGTAATTATAGTCCTTTTTCATCATATTGATAGCACATTATGTATGCAAATCCTTAACAGGCCAAAAAACCATAGGCGTCACCCTATACTTGTTTTGAAATAAATAAAAAAAATTAATATTTTAAGATGTTGTCAACAATTCATTATCTTTTAACAAAATCTTCTGTAAAATAAGTGTCCACTAATCTCACTATACTTTTTGTGCGTAAAAAACGTCGGTGTATATGCCACACGATTATTGTTAATTATATACGGGTGATTAACGAGAGAACTCAATGTTTCACGAAATAAATTAATGTAAACAGTAATTTAAAGGTGATTATTGTTTTCTATACAAGTTTTTGCCTGACACATAAAGAATACATTAGTTTTTATGCCACATTACAGCTTATGCCAATAATATAAATTAGAAATTGTTTGCATCTTCCATTTAGTTTGTAGATGTACATTGTTCATGTCTTACCTACGTTTTTGGTGCCGCTATTTTGTTATTTGCATTTAAAAATGACGTCGACAACAAGTTTTATTGATGTACACGATGCACTTGTACATCAACGCCCTTTAAATAAGGTTCGTGAAATCGTTAACATGTGTTCAAATATGACAGGGGTTGGAGAAGCAACAATTTATAGATTCCTAAAAGAAAGCAAAGGAGGAACTGTTTCATCTCCCAAGAAAAGTGGAGGGAGTAAACCCTTGAAAATTGAAGAAATACATAAAAACATGATAAGACGCAGCGTCCACTCATTTTTTTTTAACAAAGAATTTCCAGCATTGGACAAAATCCAAACATTAATTAGAAAAACGAAGAGTTACCAATCATAAGCAACAAGAAATTATGGGGACTATTGAAAGAGATGGGATTTCATTGGCAAAAGAATAGAAGAAAATCCGTTTTAATTGAAAAAGATTACATTGTATGTTGGAGGCGAGATTATCCAAGAACTATTAAAAAGTACCGAGAAGAAGGAAAAACAATTTTTTATTTGGATGAGACTTGGCTAAATGAAGGTCATACTGTACCATATATATGGGTTGATACAAATGTGAAAAGTTCCCGTCAGGCATTCATCGAAGGTGTATCTACTGGAATAAACAATATTCTCGTTGGAAAAGGACGCAGACCCATAATAACCCATATTGGAAACGAATACGGTTTTGTCAATGGTGGATTATTAAGTTTTGCCTCAAAATCAATCAAAGATTACCACGAGGAAATGACTTCTGACGTTTTTGAAGAATATTTTGAGCAAATGTTGGATTTAATTCCAAAAAATTCTGTCATAGTCATGGATAATGCTAGTTACCATTCATGACGAGAAAAATTGCCAACAACGGAATGGAAAAAAGGAGAGTTAATCGAATGGTTGGATAAACACGCAGTTGAGTACAAGGAGAATTCGACAAAAAAGGAATTATTACAAGTAAAGGGTGAAGTCACAAGTAAAGGGTGAAGTCGAACGCAACAACAAAACTTTTAAATTAGAAAACTTACAACAATTATTAGAACATTCCTTATCAAAAGTAACTCCAGAAAATTGGAAAAATGCTGTTAGTCATGCTTACAAGGAAGAAAATAAAATGTGGAATTTGGATAATATTACTGATGCAATGCTGGAACCGGTAATAATTAACATTGGAATTGAAGATTCCTTATATTCTAAAGAAAGCAGTGAATCTGAAATGGAATTTGATTACAATAAAATTCATTTTTTTTCAAATCGGCCCCTGTTACGGCCACAAATTATTTTATATATAACCAATAAAATAAACATCTTACATTTCTTGCAAATTCATTAGTACCTGTTAATATCCATCACTTCGACACTGGCACCTTTATTTAGGGATTAGTAACCCTCAAAACTATTGTATTATATTCTGCTTCAACATTTATACCTGGTGGTCATACTCAATTTAAAATTGTTTTCCTATATACTTCTGTAAACTTGTTGACAAATATCTATTTTTCATTGAGTCACCCGTATCAACAGTTTAGGGATTTGCATACATAATGTGCTATCAATATGATGGAAATGGACTATATCAAATTTCTTTTATAGAGTTGAATTAGATTACTGTTTTTTGGCAGATAATTGGAATGTCAGATATGCTAAAATTATTAAAACTAAATCAATTAAGGACACTTAGGGGCAAACAGAATACACTTAAAAGGACAAAACAGATATTAAATTTAAAATAGAGGACTTAATAGCACTACATCACTTAATAGGAGAAGGAACGAGAGAAATGAGTTTTTCTGTTGTCCATTAGATTTTTAGAGGTTAATTTGACAAGCTAATGTAGGTTAAGATGTGTCAGATCTTTTGTATTTCTTAGTACTGCAAATAAAGTTAACTAGCTTTTTGAAGTAAACAGATATTAATGAAAATTTTTTTAAACTTTTAAATGGAAACTGTAAGTTAATATGTTTAATGTTGGCATACTTTTAACAGTCATTAAATGAATTAAATTTAAATGTAACAATCAGAATAATTGAAATAATTTCCTATTATAACTAACTTATTGAATCAGAATTACAAAACAAACTTAAGTGAGTATTTGGTAATTAAAATATATAAAATATTAATCCAAATATGTAACGAAGTTACAACATTTTTTTGGAAAATTTTTTGAACGACATATTGTCTGTGTGAATGAGCTATCTAGTTCTGGTGTAGAGTATGTAGTCTAGTTCTAATTGTGCATTTAATGTATCTGATGTGAGTTTTAAGGATTTTAGTATTTCTAAATGTTCCAGGCTATTTAATAAGAAGCCTTAATTATAAGTATGAAGAATTGTCAAATCTGTTTGTGGATCAAATATGTTGTTTGTTCGTCGGATATGTTGGGACATCACTTTTATTATGACAGAACATCACTTTTATTTTTACACATTAACAATCACATTATACATTATTCCTACTTCATTGGTTAATATCTATCTCCTCAAGAAACTTTCCCGTTAATTATCAAACACTAGTAAAACTGAAGATCCCCTATTATCAGCAAATTACAGGGTAGTTTGAACTATGGTCTCCAAATCATTAATAAATCTTGTACCGGAATGTAAGTAATGTTTTGTTTATTTACTAATTTCTTACAATGCAATAGACTATTTTATACCAATTTTATACCATTTGACAATGTCAATCATGAACAATTGATAGGTATTCTGCGAAAGACAGGTATTGACGACAAGGACATTCGAATTGTGGCAAACTTATACTGGGGTCAAACAGCAAGAGCAAAAATTGGCAACGAACTTACTGAAAGCGTGCAGATCAAAAGAGGTGTCCGTCAGGGGTGTATATTATCCCAACTCCTATGCAATATGTATTCCGAGGAAATATTTAACAAATGTATGGAAAATGCAAATGAGGGCATAAAAATAAACGGCGAGTTAACGACCAATATAAGATATGCCGACGACACGGTGATCCTTGCCAGTACCAAAGACGAATTACAACAAGTAATGAAAAGACTTTATTCAGTTAGTGAGCAATACGCCCTGAGCCTCAACTTCAAGAAGACAAAGTGGATGCTGATAAGCAAAAAGCAACAACCTGCTCGACAATTACGAATAAGTAACATACTAATTGACCATGTAGAATCTTATGTGTGCCTTGGCACCAACGTAAATGCAAAATGGGAACAGGTCATAGAAATTAAGGCGAGAATAGAACGAGCTAGAGCAGCATTTAGCAAAATGAAAAAGCTCCTCATAAGCAAGGATTTGTCTCTTCCCCTAAAACTACGTCTAGTTAAATGCTACATTTTTCCGATCTTGCTGTATGGCGTAAAGGCCTGGACGCTGACGGAGACGCTAACGAGAAAACTAGAAGCATTCGAAATGTGGGTGTATCGACGCATTCTTCGTATATCCTGGACCGAACATGTCACCAACATAGAGGTACTTCAAAGAATCGGAAAGGAGAAAGAAATCGTGAATACAATTAAACAAAGAAATCTTGAATATCTAGGCCACATATTGAGACACGATAAGTACCGTCTGCTACAATTGATTGTCCAGGGAAAAATAGACAGTAAGCGAGGGCCAGGCAGGAGAAGACACTCGTGGCTCCAAAATCTGCGGAAGTGGTTCGGGCTCACATCGCTGGAACTATTCAGAAGCGCCGCAAACAAGATCAAAATTGCCATGTTAATAGCCAACGTTCGCAACGGACAGGGCACTTGAAGAAG